CAGTGAAAACAAGCAGAATAATAAATATATTAATTATCTATAGCGGCCTTGGGGATTTTGAAAATTTGATGTTTCTTCAATAGTCTTAACAAATTCTCTTTACATCTACTTGAAAATACAACAAGGTTTGGACATCAAATTTATTAGTAATTGGCATTCACATAAAAAAATAGTAAATTTATTTACATGTTTCATGAATTTTACGAGGAAGGTGATTTCTCATGTTGGCCAACATTAGTTGTAGTTAAATTCTTTGTATAGATGTTAACATTTGAGAATTCTTGTACAATCAAGAAATATAAAATATATTTGTTAGTGCTATTTTCAAGTGCACATGTACTATGAATTTTAATATACTAACCTGACCCAACTATGTATTTACACTTACAAACTCTCTTTGTAAAATTTTTAGAGCTAATGAAGCTTAAAAGAATGTAAGTGATGTTAGAAATAAATATTAAAAAAATAAGAAAAATAATCAATCAATTAATTAATTACCTGTGACCAACTTGTATGCAAATTCATTTGGTGAAAATTGACACTCAATAATTGTGGTTGGTACATATAAGCCAAGTGATTCAGATTGAGCATGTGTTGTACAGTAGGATTAATAGCCACAGTAGTAGTATCATCATATGAGATCTATTTAAACATCACAAAAATACAAAGGAGTTATCATCAAATTACTTAAAACTAAGAAAGATTATCCTTAAAGATGCTTTTTTGATTATTTTATCTTTTCTAACAACCTCTTTTTCCTTGGCACCTTCAATTGATTCCTAAACAACAATAAAATAAATCAAGTAAATAATATGTATGAGCTTAAAAATTAGTTAAAAGCATCAAAATAATAAAAGAAGTATCGTACAACATCATCTTGAGACTTTTTGCTTCTCTTATCTTTCCCAGCAACCTTTTTTTCCTTGGCACCTTTATGTGATTCCTAACAAGTAATAACATGAACCAAGTAAATAATATGAATTAGCTTAAGATTCAAAAAAAGAAATAGCATACATCATGTTAAGATTGTCGTTTTCTTTTCTTTCGTTTTTCCAAACAATTTTTTTTTTCGCACATCATTGTTTGTCCCAAAAACACTTGATGCTTTATTCGCTAATCCTTTCACTTCTATGTTACCATACTTTAATGGTTCTCCATCATTTTCCTTCATTGTCTCCCTATTTATTTCCATTTCATTCACATTAAAAGATTCATAATTGAAGACCCTTTTCTTCAATATATCTTCCACTCCTTTGCGAGCATTATCAAATGCATCTAATAAATATGAGAATGCCCTTCTATCTTTTGCAGCACATGTTGATATTTCTTTAGATACTTTCATTAGCTCTGTAAGCATTGTGGAAAATCCAACATTAGGATCAACTTTAATTGGATGTTCACAATAATCAAAAGTAGCTCCATCCTTTGCATCTCGTATCCATCTTTTCAAAATATATCATGATGGAACTTGTTTTAATAACCTTTCTATAAAAACACAAAGTGCATACGTGCACAAAAATCCTACAAACAAAAACTTCTTGCAATTGCTTAAAAATGCTTAAAAATTACTAAATCAAGAGATGATTTCAAACAAAAACTTTTTTTTAGATGTCGATCTGCTATAGCTCTCTCAAAATGCTTAAAAATTCAACTAAATCAAGAGATGATTTCAAATACCTTCTCAACATACTATTCATGCTTTCACTCCTTTGTGTGTTTTTCATATCAGCACAAAATTCATTTCGTCCCATTTCTCCTTTATTTGAAATAATCCTTGAAGCCAAGTGTTATCTTTCAATTTGTATTTTTCTAGAATCTCATTCCATACAGTAAGAAACTCATCTTCATCTTCATGGTCATATATGCAATTACTAAAGTCTCTATCAAAGGATGAGGAAGCAACAAATACATTACTCAAATCTTTGGCTGCATTTTGATATATGTGCCATATACATAAATGATGACATGTTTCTAAAATACTTGCTTTATTGCATTTGCCATTGCTGTATCTTAATCTGTAAGAATTGTTTTTGGTTGCTTCCCGGACATTGCCCTTAAAAAAGATTGGAACACCCACTTAAAAGATTGGGTGCTTTGGTCATACATCAACGTGGCTAAAAAAAAAGATGGTTTGCTTGTGATGGTTAACTCCCACAAAATGAGCAAACGGTCGTTTGTCCTCATTTGTTCGATAAGTGGTATCAAAACAAATGACATCTCAAAAATAACTATAATCAACTAACATCTTTTCATCAGCCCAAAAGATGTTTGTAATTTGATTATGTTCATCAAGTTGCACAAAGTGAAAGGATGATATATTCTCATAATGCAATTTATCAAAATACCTTAGTATAGCTCCTGACCTCCATTTTCCATGTCCTTCTTCCTTTTAGCATACAAATAATTGTTATAATCAACATTAGTGATACCAAGATTTTGAATTCCACCAGCTTGTCTACCCATAAACTCTAATGTTTTAGTACGTATACCAGAACCACTAGCAAGATCGGCTTGAGTAGCTTGAGCTATTGTTATTTTCCTTTGTGACCTAAGCATATATGATTTGCTTGGAGTAACAAGTTGATGATTATGACGTTTTTCAAATTCAGTCAAACAATACTTTCCATTTTCTTGCATCACGAGCTTAACCATTGCTCCACAACCCATTCTTGTTATGTCATGACGAAATTTTGCATCAATTCGCCTTTTATCATTACCACAAAAGCCTTCATGAGAGCAACAAAATGTTTTACTCTTCCAAATACCAGATTTTAGCTTGTACCCCTGCGATATCCGCACACTAAAACCTTCATTTCTAGCAAACCCATTATACAAATGGTAAGCATCTTCCGAAGTTTCAGATATCATACCAACTTTTGGGACCATAAAGTTTTGGTTTACATCAGTCTCATTGCTTGATTGTGAGAAATTTGCATTTGAGGGGCTAGTGCAAATTCCTTTCATATCAAAATCAAGCTTACGTGTAGCACTACATACAATTTCTAAACCCTCATGGAGTTGATTGTTCTCTATATCTTCATCAAGTTGAGTGTTCTTCTCATTACACTCTTCATTATTTATTCTACTAGGAAGTTGTTCCATTTTCTGAAAAAAAAACAACACAAATCAACTAATATACCAATTTGTTCCAATCATTTTTTTAAATCGTAACATGTGGCCATATTAGCCATTTTCTATTCTTACTTTCTATTAAAACCAAGCATAATTTAATAGAAAAAAAAGTACTAAGAAGCAAGCAAGAACCTTTTTACACAAGAAAAATATTTTCTAAGGAGGTTAGACTTCATTTATATAGTATGAATTCCTATAATTCAAGCATGTGGAGGCAACATTTTGCAAATAAAGGCCATTAATTAGTTTTTAAGTAAAAAGTAAAGACATAAAAATGATCATTTACTGAAAGAAAATTATATATTAGAGAATGGCTATAGCAATGAGTAAAGTAATTCACCATGCATAAAAAAGGTAATTAAGCATCATCATTTAGCTTCATAGTAGAGGTTAAAAATAAATCGAATCTCCAATTTAGAGCAATGAATTATGAAATGGTGGGCATAATATGAGCTTTTTATTTTATATTAAATCAGCTACCTTATTTCTAGTAAAACATATGGTAAAATTAAACATATTAAAGAAACTTGAAAGAAGTCAACTTTACTTTTAGAATTTCCTTCACATTGAGGAGTTGTAGAGAACTGTATAAGAAATTATCTAAATAGAGATCGATTGATCAATCTATTAGAACAGTACCATGAACACTGTATCTAGGGATGGAAAATTTCCCCATCCTGACGGGGACCTGACTCGGGTTGGGGATGGGGATTGTTTTGGTGGGGTGGGGACAGGGATGGGGATTAATAAGAATCTCTGATTAGGGTCGAGGTCGGGGATGGGGATTGAGGTCCCTACCTCGCCCCGACCCCGATTATATATTTATATTAAATATTATATATATATATCAAAATATATTTAAAACATTCTTTATAATTTAATTTTTTATTTATTTTAAATAAATTTATTTTTCAAAAAAACTATTATCTAAAAAAATTTTGAGATTCGAGTCCCCAGAGGGGATCCATCCCCGATCCCGAGGACAAATTTTATCATTGGCAGGGATTGGGAATGGGGAATATGATCTCCACCCCGTTGTCATTCCTAATTGTATCATAGCAAATTTTAAAATTTCCTTACATGGTACATCTTAATGTAAAAGGCAGATAACAAAACATTAAGTATTGCTATGGTCTTGCCTAAAATAAAATTGATATCATGATTTTGACCCAAAGTTATCCTTGAAGAATTTCAGTAAACTATAAATATTTGGAAACTAATTGAACATATGGAAAAGCAATTTCAGTAAACTTTTTAAATATAATTGGCTATTTGAAAAAACAAAAAGTAAGAGTCAGAAATTTATTATCTCACCTGTCGAATAGCAATAGATGATTTATCTCACAAAAAACTTATTGGCCTTCCGCACCGTTGAGGTTGAATGGTGTATTGAGTAAAGAAAATGCTCCAGTTGCAAAGGTTTTGTAGGGTAAAAAAAATGCTCCAGTTGCAACCCAGGTTTGTAGGGTGCGGTGGAGAGGAAGGAAATTAGAGAGAGAGAGAGGAGGGGGATAGAACTAGATTGGATTAAGGGAAAGAGTTTTTCAGGATTAAAATTTTTATTTTGGTCAATCATATTATAGTGTGGGGTTACGTGTCATGTGGAGAGCATTCTCCAATCGCAGGCTGTTGGGTTCCCTTCTAGGGTAGCGTCCAACCTCCAAGTGGCTGTCCACATGTGGGTGTGGGGACTGGGGACATCGATAAAAGATTCTACCCCTACCGTGTAGGAAATATGGACTGTCGTGGCCTATTTTGAATTGTTGGATTGGTGCCATAGGAGATATTTCTCCTATTAGCCGGCCATTTAACTGTATGCTTCGCTGCTTCAGCAAATACCGAATGCCGAATGCCGAATGCCGAATGCCGAATGCCGATTGCCGATTGCCGAAGTCCAGAATCCAAATCAGATGGCTAGATCATGATTCGAAGACCTAATCAGGAAGTCAAAAGTCAAAAACAACTTTTTGCAGATACTTACTTATACATGGAGGAGTGATGGAATGGTGTCGCCTGGCGCGGCCGAGGCTGGTGAAGCGGCGAGGATAATAGACTGTCCAGGCGGAAACGGAAAGCAAGCATGGAGTTCGAAAAGAGAAAGGCGAGTACTCTTGCAGCCATGGACTCAACAGAGACGGATAAATCACCGAAAGGAACGTTGGACGCAACCATAATTCCACTCCTCAAAGCACTTAATCGACATCCCGCTTATTTCACCACCAGCTCCTGCTCCGGCCGTATCTCCATCCTCTGCCAACCCTTTTACAACGCCGCTTCCTCACACACCAAGAAGAAGGCCGGAGGTGGCTCTTGGATCTTTATAACCCACGACCCTGCCGATCCCGACTCCGTAGTCAACCTTCTCTTTAAACCCTCCGACTCCACTCCTCCCAGCCTGGAAGGTGACTTGGTATTCAGGTTCGAGCCCTTCATCCTCGCCGTTGAATGCAAAGACATCCCGTCGGCTCAGTCTCTCGTATCAACTGCCATATCTTGTGGGTTCAGAGAATCGGGCATAACCAGTTTACACAAGCGTATAATCATCGCTATTCGATGCTCTATACGGTTGGAGGTGCCGTTGGGGGAGATGGGCAGGATTATGGTCTCACCCGAGTACGTTCGGTACCTTGTCGGAATTGCCAACGAGAAAATGGAGACTAATCGGAAGAGAACCCAAGGCTTTCTTCGAGCATTGCAGTGCATTGATATCTCCGAATCAATAATGGGGACTCCTGAGGATCGAGTTCTTCCGGACACGGGAACACATGAGAAGATTTCCTCAATGTGTACTTCAGGGAAAGACGGATGTAGTGTAAATGATGAACTGACTGTTGGTTCTAATAAACTCACAGATAGTGACCAAAATTCCCAGATTAGACTTGATGATGCACAATCAGGTAATCTTATCATTGATGGGTTTATGACTAGATTCTGAATGTAAGTTGAGTCAGTTTCTGTGCAACTTTAGTTCTTGGTAGCTTGCGCAGTGCTTCTATGAGTGTAAGTTTCTTCTTTTGATGGCTTCTGGTAAACAATGCAAATTAGTTCTATTGTACTGTACAATGCTTCAATGAGTGTACATTTCATCTTTCGATAGCTACTAATAAGCACAGGCATCCCGCATTTCTTTGTTTCTGTTGTTTCTGTTTTGAGTTTGAGTGCAGGACAACTTTCTCTTTATTTTGACAGTGACCATGGATCATAATTTATTTTTTGAATTGGCAGGGTTTCTTAGAGATCCTGGATACAGTGTTTCTGTTGTTCAGATGATGATTGTTGGAGAATCGGTTGAGAAGCTCTTTCTCTGGGGTCACTCAGCCTGTACCTTAAAGAATGCAAAATACGGAAAGATTCTGGTTTTTGGTGGTTTTGGAGGCTTGGGGAGACATGCACGAAGAAATGATTCTTTAGTACTCGACCCACTGTGCGGGACATTAAATGCCATTGATATCGAGGGACCTCCATCTCCGCGCCTGGGTCACACATCTTCATCGGTTGGGGAATGCGTTTTTGTTATTGGAGGGAGGAGTGATCCTATGAATATTCTGAAAGATGTTTGGGTTCTTGACACAAATAAGAAAACATGGAAGTTTCTAGAATGCACTGGCAGTGTATTCCATCCTAGGTGATGTAATTAGTATGTTCTAAATTCTTCTATTTTAATGTCCTAATTGCACTGCTAGGTGATTAGTTTTTGTGAAAAAGAATCCTGCAATTGGATGTATGATAAAAACTTGTGCAGGAGCATCAGTAGTATAACTATCTACAGAAACTGCTTCACTCGAAAAAAAAAAAAAAAGAACTTTTCATCCTAGGCAAGCCTCGTCAAATGTTAATCACCTTTTATCATTCTTGAAGCTTAATAGTTACACATTAGTCTCCTTGTTTGAGTAACAATTCCAAAGTAGATATTAATTCTTTCCCACCTGTAACTTGATATATTTTGTATTACACAGGCACCGGCATGCTGCAGCAGTTGTAGGCTCAAAAATCTATGTATTTGGTGGACTTAACAATGATGTGATCTTTTCCTCTATGCATGTACTTGACACAGAGAATTTACAGTGGACTGAGGTAAACATCCGGGGGGAGTGGCCATCCCCACGCCATTCCCATTCTTTAGTGTCACATGGGTCTCAGTTATTTATGTTTGGAGGGTATGATGGTGAAAAAGCACTTGGAGACCTTTACAGCTTTGATATCAAAACATGTCTTTGGAAGAAAGAGGCAACAACAGGGAGAATGCCTCATGCAAGGTTTTCGCATTCTATGTTTGTTTATAAAAATTACCTTGGCATTATTGGGGGATGTCCTGTCAGACAGCAGCATCAAGAAGTAGCTTTACTTGATTTAGAACTCGGCCTTTGGAAGCATGTTATGCTCAATTCTGCTGGCAAACACCTGCTTGTTCGTAGCACAGCCAGTGTTATTCATGATGATCTTATTATGGTTGGTGGTGGAGCATCATGTTATGCATTTGGAACAAAATTCAGTGAGCCAATGAAAATGAGTTTGCTACAGTTAACATCTTTAGCTGAATTTTCTGTTCCTTTAGATATGGGACTAAGACCTACTGTAAACCATCCAAGGGATGTGAGGACAAAGAACAACAGTGCCATTTTGACTCCAGTGGATAATCTTGGACATACCATAACTGAAGATTCTAACTTAAATAATGAGAGTGAAGTATTTAGTGCAAGTGTCGAGAATCAGATGGGTTCTAAGCATTGGGTTTTTCAACTTGAAAGGAAATATGCCAAACTGGGGAAAGATATATTGAAAAAGTTTGGATGGTTGGATCTTGGGAGGAAGGTTTATTCCCAAGAAGATGGAACATATATTTGCATACCTATCACTGAAAAGTTTTGTGTTCTCTTTTGTGAAAAGGAGCATAATATTAAAGACAAATTTGATGGCCTTGATAGCCTCCATCCAGTTGTACAATTTACAAGCAAGGAGATTTCAGTAAATGAAGTTTCCTGTTCAACAGCATTGAATTTTTTGTTGTCATGTGGTGGTTCCATACTTGTGGGTGAGGTAATCAGTGTCAGAAAATTTCCAAAGTCTCCACTAAAGATAATGAGTGAAGCAGTATGTTCTTTGATAAAGCACAGAGGCCTACCACAACATTTGCTAGAGCAATTACCTACAAGGTTTGTGGTTCATGCTGTAGATGCTGCTTGTTTCTATTCTTTTTGGTATCTGCCTGTAGGCCCTAGTGGGTATGCACTTATTTTTTTCAGAGGTACTTAAATTCTTCAATTATAAACTTGGCACTTCAAGTTGGACTAGTATGACAATATGGTGCTTTTGTTGTTTATATCTAATACACATTACCTTCAGTTTAATAAATTTACTACTTCAGGTGGGAACGGCTTGGAGATGTTGTTGTGCTGCCAGTGACATCCTTTAAAGACCCATTGTGGGATTCAATTGGGGAGGAACTTTGGTCTACTGTTGCTAGATCACTTGGTACTCGTCGGCTTGCTCGTCAAGTATGTTATCTAGGGCTTGGATTTAATATGCCTTTAGTTGCCAAAATGGTGTTTGATTCCGTTATCTATCTCAAATCGTTTCTTTTTGGTAGTCTCTAGTGTCATCATCTGCATCTTAATTCATTGAGCCTGTGCTGATGGTTATTTTATAATAGTATAGAACTATTTAGGATCATGGTAAACATCAGAGAAGGGATGGAAATATGTAATGCAGTACTAGGCATAACAAGGAACAAAGAAATAACATCTTGGTTTTGAAATTGCTGTCTTATTCCATTTTCTGTCTAAAATTGTTTCTTTTTAATGGCATATAGTGTTATCAAATGCATCTTAATTCAATAAGACTATGCTCATGGTTATTTTATAACAATTTGAAGGGATAAATACTAAAATTTCCCCATAGGTTTCTTATAAATACTCAAACCTTTACTCACCTTTTTCAGAGGACTTAACCTCCCTTATTGGCTGACGTGGCAGGACAAGAATAACCCATCAATTAGTCTGCCATTAATTGCCATTGGTACACGGTTAGATATGACATTAAAGTTTTATCAAAAACCCAATAATGCCCCTATTTAAATTCATGTTAAATTGAACAAAAAGTCACATTAAATTGAGGTTCATGAAGAATTTACAGGGGTTGAAACCTGCAATATTGTACTGATTCAATATCAGTCCTAAATACAACAAGAAGTAAATAGCAGTTTTTCTACCATGATATGCATAAGAAATTGCATTATGAATATATTAGTGGTAAAAAAATAAAAGAACAATAAATATAGAAGTTTTAATTCATTCACCGGATAAACTTACATGCATATATGAACCCATCATATCTATGGATTATCTTCTCTAACCACAATATTCTACTGTTGCAAATAGTTTAGGATTTGGTGAAGCAGTCATTTCAGAGCTAATAGTAAATTTTGGTTTCTATTTCTTTTTTAATTTTTATAAAGGGGTATCTTTGGCAGCATATTGAAAAATTTAAAGGTTTTAAGGGTATTCTCGGAATGTCCTCAATTCTGTCAAAATTAATGACAGATTTTTTTGAGAGAGAAAGTTTTAAGGATTAGGGTAAAACTGAGAGGAGTTTTAGTATTTGTTACAAATGTCAGGGGATGTTTAACGATTTTTCCCTAACTTGAAACTATATTATGATTGGGATATACATCATTGCTGTACCAGGCATAACAAGGAATGGAATAGTAACAAAAGGTAAAGGTTTAGATTGAAGATAAATATAATGAAAGTGAATGATTTCCTAGGAAAATGATATTCAATAGGAAAATTGATAATAAAACCTGAATGGTTGTGATATCATGGATGCCATGAGATTTTAATCAAGAAAACCAACTGTATTTGCCAAAATCTGGCACTTGGACAAATGTAGAGAGGTCATGATCAATGATAACTTCATATGCATGCACTGATATTGTAAACTTTATTTTTTTTTTTGATAGGAAATGGTTACTTTCATTGGCTAATAAGCCAGAGATACAACTGTCACCTACTAAAGTGTAAGGTGACCTGAACAAAAACAAATTACAACACTGCCCAAAACAAAAACTCCTGATTCACCCCTTGCTTTGCTAGGTTGTCAGCTAAAGCATTTGCTGACCTCCTATACCAAGAAACTTGTGCACCCAGCTCCCTTGTGAGGCTCAATAATTCCCTTACAGGTTGTCTAAGGGATCATGTTCTCAAACTATTTGATTGCAGCCAACCTACTACTAATTTTGAGTAATATTTATTTTGTTTTGAAATTTTCTAATATTATAAACTCTATTGCAGTGGCTTCTGCAATGATATAAGATTCTCATATTCCTATGGTCAAAATGAGTCATGGCAATAGCAGTGCTAGGAAATAACTAACATTAGAACAGGATCTTGAAAATTGTATTCGTCCACTACAGTATGGTTGGTACAATACTCTGTTTCCAAGGTATGCTGAAGTGCCTGAGTATTATGTAATAACAGATTGCGGAGGTTCCTTGGAGCAATTAAGCTTAGTTCTGATAGTTGCTTTATGAGGTCAGGTGTTTTCAGAAATCAGGTGTAATTACTTTACTTGTGGTCTTCCAATCAGATCTCAGGAGTTACTTATCAAAAAAAAAAAATCTCAGAAGCTTATACTCATTTTTGTTCCGATTCTTGATAGAGTTATGCATTGTTACCCATAAAAGGTAAAAGAAGTATTATGAAATCACAGCAGGGATAAAAGTTTACATCCCATAACAAGGGATGTAAAATTAGTAATCCCTTCTTTAATGACTTACTGAGGTAGTAAAGCATTAACCTTCCAATGACTTGTTCTGTATCCTGAATATAATTACACTCCATTTACTATAAATGATTGACTTATTATGAATCATATATGTTCATAGTTCAAATAGAAATTGGAATATTGAATATCATGTTTTTTGTCAATTGGTAATTTATGAGATAAAAAACCCTTGCTAATTTCTCTAGCCAAGAAGTTCTTGGAAAAATGCCTAAAATTGGTATTCTAGGAGTTGGCATCATTGAATGCTTGTCACATGATATTGCTGGCTCTTTCTAGGGTCGCATTTCACCAACTGGAACACGGGATAGTACCCTGGAGATCCTTGTGGGAGAAAATGGCTGGGTTGATCATCGTGAAAATGGAATAATATACTCATTTGATGCGACAAAGTGCATGTTCTCCTGGGGAAATCTTTCTGAGAAGCTCCGCATGGCCCATTTGGATTGTAGAGATGAAGTTATTGTTGATTTGTTTGCTGGAATTGGATATTTTGTGCTGCCTTTTCTTATTGGGTATGGATGTTATTCTTCATTTGCTTTGAATTTCTTTGTTGTGTCAAGAGGAAAATTTTCTTCCCCTCTTTCCTGTTTAGAATCTATTGAAGCTTCCGTCCTTTGTAACATTTTGCAGTTTACATAATTGTTTGAAGAGATAATTAAGTGCAATTAGATGTATCATATGCTTATCTATGAATTGCATAGGATTGTACATGAGGCTTGCAGTAAGTTGGGTCACCCTTTGCTGGGTCCCAGATCAAAGATATCCTTGACCAAAAATGTAGATGATCAAATGATCATAACCTTTATATCTCACTTGTTTGGATGATTTGCAGCAGATACTTTTTTATTGATAATTTATTTGCAGCTGCTTCAGTTAAAGTTTTGATAGATTAGATAGTGAACATCATCCCATGGGGTTGACCTTTAGCTAGGAAAATTTTGCAGTTGAGATGATTTCGACACATGGAATGGTGGATCCCTATCCATTTGCCTGTGTGTACAATGCTAATATGCCATTACTGATCATTTTTGCAACTAATCTCAATGAAAATTTTGGATCCCTTCTTTATTAAAATCGTAATGAAATATTTGTCAAGCAGGGCCAAAGCAAAGCTGGTTTATGCATGTGAGTGGAATCCCCATGCTGTAGAGGCTCTCAGACGAAATGTTGAAGCCAATTCTGTTGCAGATCGTTGTGTCATACTTGAAGGAGATAACTGTGTCACAGCACCTAAGGTATGTCTCCCTGGGTTTCTTTTATTCTCAAATCTATTCTTCTATTATCCATATTTCTGTCCCAGGCTTGACTGTAGAATTGCAACCACAATTTTGTATACTTCTGAGGTACTTTGGCATATGATGTTGGTTTAGTGGGAGGCTGTTTTTTATGTTAATGCCATTTTATTTTCTATCTATGGTAAAAAGGAAATCCGTAGTGCCTCCTGGTAAATAGGTTAAGTTGACTGTTACTAACAGTGTATTGCTACATGGGTTGTTTATGCAAGGGGTTTGGGTCAGATATTGGGTTTTCTTTGCCTTAGAGATCTCTTACACCAAATGGGGATGGGTATGCTAATTGGGTCATTTAATGAAACTCTAAATGACCATGGAGTTCATGTGGCAAATCAGTTTTGATCCCAAAAAGACTCCCCATGTTTGATTTACAAGCTCGATTTAGAGAAAGCTTATGATTTGGTGGACTAGGATTTCTTAATGGAAGTGATGTGGAATTTTGGTTTTGGAGATAGGTGGTGTAAGTGGATTAAGGGATGCATTAGTACTTGTCATTTACTCACTTTTGGTTAATGGCACAATAGTTGACCACTTTCCAGCCATCTGAGTATTAGACAGGGGGACACACTCTCTCCTTTCTTATTCACATTAGTAGCAGAAGTGCTAGGCATTCTTTTCTAGAGAGCAGATTTGAGGTGAGAGGTTGGAGAGTGGGAAGAGAAAGTGTGCCTATTACTCACCTACAGTTTGCCGATGATATTGTCCTATTCTATGAGGGAGGTGATCTAAATTGGGTGAGGAATATGAAGGAGGTGATCCAAGTCTTTGAGAAAATGACAAATCTGAAAGTTAACTTCAATAAGACTTGTGGCAGGCATCAACATGGATATTGCCTGCCTAAAAGGATAAATTTTTGGAGCAGTGGCCTATGAATTATTTGGGTTTACCTATGGGGGGCAACCCTAGAAGCATACATTTTTGGAGCCTGGTGGTGCCATAGTGGATAGGTTCTCAAAAAGGCTTGCCTAAAAGGAATTATCTTCCGATGGGTGGAAGAATTACCTTGATCAAATCAACTTTGGCCAATATGCCGGTCTACTTTCTTTCGGTTTCTAGGATGCTTGCAGGGATATGTAGAAGGTTGGAGAAGCTAATGAGAGATTTTTTATGGGAATTGGGAGAGGAAAGAGGGACCACAGAATGAGATGGGAAATGGTGAGTAGAAGTAAGGAACTAGGGGGTCTAGGAATTGGGAACATTCAGAAGAGGAATACGACCTTGTTGGGAAAATGGTTATGGAGATTTTTGGTGGATCAAGACATTGTGGACAAAAGTGATTTAGAGCATACACGGGTTGACGACAGATGGATGGGATGCAGGAATTTCGGTCGGAGCAATGACAACAACACCTTGGAAGGCCATTCATTCCATTCTTCCTTGTTTTCTACCTTTTGTCAAGTATAACTTGTGTTCTGGAAACATGGTAAGGTTCTAGGAACATGTGGGTGGGGGGGACACCACTTAAAGACCAATTCCCTTCCCTATTCTCCCTTTCTAGGTACAAAAACTTAAATACCTCATCTTTAGTTTCATCTGTTGGTCCAAGACCTTAATTTAATTGGGATTTGGGTTTCAGACGAGGTCTTAAAGATTCTGAGATGGAGTTGGTGTGGTCCTTGGTTCAGGTACTTCAAAAGGTCTTCTTAGAACTGTCAAAGGGGGATTGCCCGGTTTTGGACCCTTTCCTCTTCTAGCTCTTTCAGTTGTGCCTCCTTTTTCAATGCCCTAGCATCCTAGCTCAACCTTTTCTTTCTCTTGTCGTTCCCTTTCCTTCTAAAGAAGTGTGGGGAAGACTGGTTCCACCCATGGTTGGAGCACTTTGCTGGGAAATAGCTTTGGAAAGGAATAATACTTGTGATCAACTTCAAAGAAAGAAGCCTTTTTGGTGCTTGTCCCCGCACTGGTGTACCCTTTGTAAAGCCAATGGTGAGTCTTGCTCTCATTTACTTATATCCTGCCCTTTTACTTCATTTATTTGGGAGTGGTTTCTCTCTTTATTTGGTTGCAGGTGGACTCCCCCGTCAAGCATTTGAAGCCTCTTCATCTATTCAGTTGGTAGCCGGATCAGAAAGAGGGGAAAAATCTTGCGGAGGTGCACTAGGGAAATAGTTTGCTGGACAATTTGGGAGGAAAGGAACCAAAGGATATTTGCTGAAAAAGAAAAGTGGAAAAGTTTGGATGACCTGTTTTGATATAAAAACTGTAAAAGAAAGAGAAGAAAAGGTTTTAGGTGAGAAAGAAAGAGAAAAGAGATAGAAGAGAATGGGAGAAGCCAAAAATTAGGTTTGGCCGCCCTTTTCATTAGATTATATACTCACAAATAAAAGAGGGTACAAAGACAAGTATGCCCTTAGTAAGTCGGCTACTTGTAAAAACTGAATAAGCACTCTCAACTTAAAAATAAACTAATGGGCCTAAGGCCCAATAACTCGCTAACTATGTTATGTAAATAAAAATCAAGTAATATTAGCCCAAAACTCAACACTCCCCCTCAAGTTGGGAATAAATGTCACACATTCCCAACTTGCGTAGATCATGCTCCAGCTTGTTTCTTGCAACATCTTTTGTAAGAACATCAGCAAGTTGCAAGTTAGATGTAACATATGGTAAGCAAACTTATAAAATGTTTATCCACTTCTATATGCTTCGTCCTACCATGCTGAACTGGGTTGTGGGCAATGTTAATCATTGTTTGATTGTCACAATATAGCATCATAGGTTCTTCGGCCTCAACTCCAATCTCCCCTAACAAGGAACGAATCCAAAGGAGCTCTGAGCCACCATGTGCCATGGCTCTGTATTCAGCTTTTGCACTTGACCTTGCCATAACTGTCTGTTTCGTACTCTTCCATGAAACTAGATTACCTCCAACAAGAGTGCAAACCCTTGATGTAGATCTCCTGTCATCTAGACACCCTACCCAATCAACATCTGTGTAAGCTTCTAACTTCAACTGTCCATGGTCAGCAAACAATATCCCTCTACCTAGGTGTCCCTTTAAATAGGAAAACATCCTGTAAACAGCCTCCCAATGCTGAACTCGTGGGGCATGCATGTATTGACTCACCACACTCATTGGATAAGAGATGTTTGGTTGCATCATACATAAGTATAGAAACTATCCCACTTACCTCTGATACGTTCCAACATCCTTCACCAGTTCACCTTTTGAAGCATTTATCTTGTGGTTCTGATCAATAGGTGTATCAGCTGCCCTTGCCCCAAGTTTTCCTGTCTCTTGTAGTAGATCTAGAACATACTTCCTTTGTGAGATAAAGATCCCATGCTTGGACCTTGCCACCTTAATGCCCATAAAGTACTTTAGCTCCCCAAGATTCTTAATCTCAAACTCTTTGTGTAGATTCTTCTTCAAAGTATCAATCTCGCTCAGATCATTTCTTGTGACTACAATGTCATCCACATACACTATCAAAATTGACTCTAGTGACCCTCTTCTTTTCTCAAAAAGTGTGTGATCAGATTGAGTATAGCCAAATACAACCAATGCACTTCTAAACCTGTTAAACCAAGCTCTGGGTGATTGCTTCAACCATATAGAGACTTCTTCAACCTGCACACATTTTCTTTTTCCACATCATTGTAGAAGCTAGCTGAAAGATCCATATACGCTTCCTCTTGTAAGTTCCAATTGAGGAAAGGATTCTTCACATCAAGTTGGAAGAGTGGCCAAGAGTATGTAGTTGCTAGTGATAGAAGAATCCAGACTGAGTTCATCTTTGCCACTAGTGCAAAAGTTTTCAAGTAATCTATGCCATAAGTTTGAGTGTACCCTTTTGCAACCAGCCATGCCTTGTACATTTCTATACTCCCATCAATTTTGTACTTCACTGTATAAACCCATATACATCCAACTATCTCTTTGCCATCAAGTAAATCCATAATCTCCCATGTTTGATTTTTAATTAATGTTTTCATTTCCTCCTGCATTATTGTCTTCCATTTAGGTTTGGAGAGAGCCTTACTAACACTCTTGGGTATAGACACGGAGTCAAGGGATGAAAGGAAGGCTCGGTATATAGGAGATAATCCATTGTAGGAAAGATAGTGTGAGATGCAATGAGTATTACACTTCCTCTTCCCTTTTCTGAGTGCAACAGGGAATCGAGGTCATCTGCAATGGTGTTAGGAGCAGGGGTAGTAGTATCAATAGGAACTAAACCATCAGAGTAAACAAGAGGCATACCTGGGTCTGTGTCAGTCGAACCTAGAATCTCCTACGTGCCGCCGATAGGGAGTGATGTAGGTTCCTCTACTGTGGAATCAACCTTCCTGTGCTGTTGTGTAAAACACTGAGAGATAGGACACAATGGAGGTGGCAAAGTGGGTGAGATAGGTAGGTTAGACATTGGAGTGGACAAAGGAGCTGGAACAGGAAGTGGTATAGATTGCTCACTTCCTTCTCCATAACACTCCCCCTGAGAGGAACCCCCCGAGAAAAAAGGTGTGGACTCAAAAAAGGTGACATCCATAGTAACATATCGGTTCCCGTAGATTGGATTATAACAATAATACCCTTTCTGATTTCCTACATACCCAAGGAAAACACACTTCTTCGCCTTAGGATCCAGCTTTGAGCGGTGAGGACCAAGAACATGGACAAAGCATACACATCCAAACACCCTTAGAGGAATATGGAATGTCTCCCCTTAGGAAAAAGAAGGGTGAACATAGTGCTATATCCAAGGACACAAGAAGGCACTCGACTAGTCAAGAAAGTTGCTGTAAGAACTGCATTACCCCAAAAACGAACTGGAACAATAGAGCTCAACATCATGCTTCTTGCTACTTCCACAATATATCTATTCTTCCTTATTGCTACACCGTTCTGTTGTGGAGTGTATGTACAACTGCTCTAATGGACTACACCATGCTCCAATAGGTATGATGCCAGATTTTTTTTTCCAAAGTATTCCTTGGCATTGTTTGATCTAAACACTTTAACTTGTACCCCAAACTGCGTCAGCACCATCTGCTGGAATTGTTGAACCAAAGATGGTACCTCATCATGAAACCTCATCAAATATATCCAAGAGTATCGAGAATAATCATCCACAAACAGAAGAAAATACTGATAGCCACCCATAGAGGAAACATGGTATGGCCCCCAAACATCAGTATGAACAATATAAAAAACAAAAGAACATCTTTTATTACTTGCTTTAAAGGAATGTCTATAATGCTTTCCAAGTTGACAACCCTCACACTCCAAGCTGGACCAACTGACAGACTCAAACAATTTGAGAACAAAAAACACAAAGAAGAAAAAGACAAATACCCTAACCGATTATGCCAAAGCATAATCTAACCCACTGACTCTGACTCAATGCTCTTATTGACATGATGACTCTGATGACTGGGAAGCACATCAAGAAGATAGATTCCATTCACCTCACAACCACTCCCAATCGTCCTCTTTGATTCCAAATCCTACAAAATACAATGACCAGGAGAAAAAATTACTGAACAGTTGAAATTCTTGTCAAGCTACCAATAGACAAAAGATTAGTGCTTAGTCTAGAAACATGAAGGACATAAGGTAGGGTAATGGTATCGGTTATCCTGACAGATCCTTTCCTAGCAATGGGACCATGTGACCCATCTGCTATGGAAACTCTATCTTTGCTAGAGCAGAGGTGGTATGAGGAGAAAATGGTGGAAATGTTGGTCATATGTTCTAAGGCTCTTGAGTCTATAATCCAGGGAGGTCCCCCCCCCCTTGTCTGTAGTGGATACATAATTTGTAGTGGCATGTAAATTACCTATATGTGCAAACGAAGTAGAATGGTTACCTCTTAATCCACTTGCACCTTGCTGTCCACTTAATAATGAGTTAGAACTGGTTGTATCCCTCTAATTCAGAAATTGCCCATATCTTTCTAATTCGACCCTCACTACAACTACTGCAACAAACTTTAGAGAGGCTGTTGTAGGTGGTCCTGATAAATCACCAGTCACTGTCAGTGCCATATTCACATTTCCCTTCTTGTTTCTAGCTAGCTTGGTACAAGGTGTGATAAAGCTTCTAGCAAGTATCTCTGGTATGTTTAGGTTTCTTATAGTAGTCACAGATCAGATCCTTCTTGTCCTCCTTCCTTAGTTCATTTCCACCCTTGTCCCCACTCGGTTTAGGCTTCACTGTGCTAACCATAGTTGATTGCTCAAGGCCTGGGTTCCTCATCATCACATTCCTCCTACTCTCCTCTCCAAAGACAAAGGCATATACCTGAGAGAGAGTTCCACGGTCTTGGGAAAGAATATGCCGTCGTGCAATGTCATACTCAGGTTTAAATCCAACTAGAAACTCAAAAACCCTATTCTTCTCTACTAGCTTTTGATAAGTTGCTGCTTCTTTGCTACTTTCCCAAACCACAGTCTCGAGATGGTCTATCTCCTCCATAAGGTTTTGAGGGCTGAAAAATAAATAGCAACAAACTTATCTCCCTGCTTAGTATCAATCACCTGGTTTCTCAACTGGTAGGTTCTAGCAACATTCTCATTATGTGAATAGGTTTCTGCTACTCCATCCCAAATCTCCTTAGCTGTGTTAGCCCATAAAAAGTTCTTACTTATATATGGTAACATGGAATTACATAACCAAGTCATCACCATGTAGTTCTCCTATACCCACTGAGAGTGGTTAGTTTCAGGTTTCTTTTCCTCACCGGTGACATACCCCAATTTCCCACGAGCACCAATGGCCATCTTTGCAGATGTGACCATTCTAAGTAGTTTGTACCATCCAACTTAACTATAGTGATGGTCCCGACCTCGAAGAGGTCTCCAACACCTCCTCCTCCAGATCCCATTTCACTTGCAAATTTGTTTTCAACTCCACAACCCTCCATAATTCCCAGAATAGATTAGGAAATCAATTTGAGATGAAAAGAAAGGTTTTTTTTTTTGGAAAAGGTAAAGTAAATTTATTCAGACAAGGTATTTATCTCCTTTAGAAACCTCAAACACCTTCTTGCTACCCTAGGTTAGAAGCCCCTCCCTCCAAAGATTCCTTTTCCGTAGGAGCGGGGGAAGAGAGAGAAGAGGTTGCTGCTCTCTCCAGAGAGGGATGACTGTAACCACCCAACTAATGTTATGCATCTTTATTCTTCTTAATATAAATGATTTTTATTAAAAATAAAGAAAAAATGAGATCCCTAGAGAGGGATAAAGATTTTAATAAAAATCTTTTATATTAAGAAGAACAAAGGTGCATAACATTATATTAAGAAGTTGCTTCTTCCTCCAGAGAGGGATCACTTTCCAAAGAATATTGGGTGGTTACCGTCATCCCTTCAAGCCATTCAACTTTGATCTTGGATTAGATAGGTATGACATTTCTAGAAATTTGTCTTGTCAGTGTGGTATGTTTACATCTTTTGCTTTTAGTTGTTGTTTTTTTTTGCTAGAGTATGCTTACATCTATTGTTATGTTTTTAATAGAATGCCTTGTGACCTATGCTTCTGCATGAAACCTAGATGCTTTTTTCTAAACATATCTAGTGTCACCAGCACTATCTTGTGCATTATCTTACTCTAATTTCTGCATGGTAAAAACATGAACCTAAAGTTGAAAGCCAGAAGTTCATGCTGTAGATAAATTAGGCACTGTGTTAATATCAGCGCAGTTAGGACTCAAAACTAATTAGGAGACTTGGTAGTTCAACACCACTCTATCCAGTATCCAGAGGGCTCTCACAAAGAAAACACCAATTGAACTGATATTATCTCCCAAGAAAACAGAAAAGCCTATGACATCAAAACATGCTTCCTTCTTTTATTAATAAAATTTTATTTTTTGTTTATTACTAAAAAAATGATATCAAAATAAGAAGTGTTTTTTTTTCCATGACTTATTTCGTTGATTGGTGTGTCAGGGGGTTGCTGATCGTGTCTGCCTGGGTCTCTTGCCAACAAGTGAGGGTAGCTGGCTTACTGCTGTGAAGGCATTAAGGTGATGTCTAAGACTTCAACTAGAAAGTTTGTCAATAAGTCAATTTATCAAGATAATGTTTAACAAATGAATTGTACTGATCTTTAAAACTCAGATCAAAAGTTATATTTAATAATTCTTCATACATTTATATTTAGTTGTTTTATTTATATATGTATGTTAATATTGAAAATATGTTTACTTAAAAAAAGCCAAACTTTTGTCTTGAGTTTTGGGCCATTTTTTTTTTTGGGGGGGGCAGTGCAGTTTCATTTGTATTGGTGCAAAAAGTATGGGAGTGCCAATGATTTTAGTGTAAATTCTGATTTATTTTTGTTTCAAAATTTACCTTATTTTGTTTGTTTGCACTGCAAATGAAGTAAAATAAAACCTGAACCAAATTAAGTAAAATTCAAAGCAGAAGTGAACCAGAATTTGCATTCTTCTTTTTGCACTCGTGTATTTGTACCAAGTGCAAATGAAATAGCACTGCAAACCAATAAAACCTTAAGAGAAGTATTAAAGGCAACTGTATCCCTAACCTGTCACATTTATTTGGCCAAATTTCTCTATGTCCGTTTCATGCTGTGTATAGCGATTTTCATACTATTACATGTCCCTATTTTCAAGATGTGATGAAATCCACCTAAGGTTGAGGTTATGTTGCAAATGGGATGGTATGACACAACATGCTGGGAAGAGAGCTATGAGCTCCCACATTATAGGAGTTGCCTTGAAAGCATCTCAAATAAAGGGCTTCCCTAAAGGTGCCTTCTATCACAGGGATTGCTTTGTAAATGCTCTCACTAAGTTTAAACAGCTTGCCTGGAAAGCACTCTTGTTGACAGGATTACCTGGAAAATTTCTCTCTCTCTCTCTCAAAAAAAAAAAAATAAATAAATAAATAAATAAAATAGAATAAAAGGATTACCTGGAAAACACCTTCATGTTGAGTGATGCTTGGAGGTTACTCTCTAAAATGTATGCGGAGAAGGTTCCTTAATAAAAGAGGGGGTTATATACTCACTTCCAAGGGAGTGGTCCAAAATATCCCCCCCACCCACACACACCCACCCACACGCACACCCACCCATGCAAATAAAGGGGAAAATGAAAGATTGCTGGGGCAGGTGAAGCTAATGCTGCCAAGAGAAAGGCTCAAAGTTCAATAGCAGAGGGAGGACAGGCAATGATGCTGCTGAAAGCTTCATTAAACATATGAAAGAAGAGAACATGACCAAGCATTAAAAAACTATTTGACCTGCTATGTTTCTAAAGCTAATTATACTTTTCAGCTCTAAGCCTCCAACCCATTTCGAAGTTCTCAAAAAACAGGAATAGCCCAACAACATTCATCTCCAAGATTTGACAACCTACCAGTATCTTATGTGCAATGGAAAGTTGTGATACAGAAATTGATTTTTTGATGAATGACATGTCTAGGAGAAGAACTTTTTTATTTCATTTTAATTTCCTTTTCTTGTAAACTTTTGGATAAATATTAGTCTTCTGCATATTTTTAGTTTTGACAGAAGTGTATACTGCCTTTTCAGCTAAAATATACTGCCTAGATCTAAATGGTTTTTCTCCATACCAAAAGAAACATATCTTCAGCTAGTAGCCGGTCAAAGTTCAGGAATCCAGTGTCTCTTCAATCCTGTCTCCCTTAACACATTTAGCTCAAGGGAAACTTTTCATCTTTTAACCTACCACTTGAATATTGAATGGAATCATGTTTGGCTGATTCATAGTGAAGTTGTTGGGAGGATCCATGGAGGAGTTTAACTTTCAGGATTTATACACTGCTGAGGTTAAAATTGCAGGGGTGAAACCGGAGTTGCTGCCCAGATCAGTTGATGTGTTAGCTGATGGATACTGGTATCGTGTTTGGCTGATTTCGGAAGTGGAAGTGACTCTTTGGGGAAGAAGAACAAAGGTTGAAGATGCTGAGGTGGCAGGCTGGTATACACGTGGCATGCAACCGGTGGTGAGAGTTATTGGCGAGCAAGGAGATTTATTTGGGAAGCTGTAAAGTCGGCTAAGGAAAACCAAGGCACAAGTAAGCTAATTAAAGGAAAAAATTCAAAAAAATTTGAATTGTTAGGAACAAAAGAGGGCTGGGTTTCCTATGCTGATGTGGCCAAGAGGGGGAGTGGGTCGAGTAATTATAATATGAGAACCGCCTGCTCTGAACCAACCGGTGGTAGATGCGGTTTAACCAGTGGTGTGAAGACCGACCCACGTGATGTTTTAAGTGGTCACGTGGGTCACGGGAAGCAACTCGCGACTATAGACAACAACTTCTGTCTATCTTCTTCTCCAACGAAGATAGTTTGGGTTGGATAGTCACGAAGGACTGAACAGGGTTCAAGGGGTTTCCTACAATGGGTACCTTACACAGACGTGGCTTCGGACTTTGATGGTCACTCTTATTCAGACCGCCCAAACCCTAGGTATGCACGAGCAGATGTGGCGGAGAGGGACTCGGTGGATGAAGGTTGGGTAGCTTGCAATTTGGAGGAGGTTGAAGGGGAAGATGACTCTGAAGTTTCCTCCAGTCTTGGTAGTGTAGCAGAAAGGGAGTTGCAGGTGGAAGAGATTGTAGCCAATCTAGACCTGGAACAATTTTTTACTGAAGAAGTAGAAAACGACATTATTGATGGTGTAACGACTCAACCTGATAGAGAAGAGGAGGCTGACGCAACTGAGCACAGACAAATCTTTGGGGGTGGAAACCTTTGCTCTCAACCAGAAGAACCATTGCCAAACCAGATTCCAAGGCAGGCTATATGTAAGTAAGTTTTTGATGCTTCCCAACAACAAAATAGAAGTATGTCAGTAAGGGGTAAACAACAGGGTGTGGGGAGTATTACTTGTGTTATACAAGAGAAAGGAAAGCTGTCCATTCAGAATCAAGCCGAGGAAATAGATAACATTCACACTCCAAAATAGGGAATAACAGACGTTGTTACCAGTCACTACAGTTCCCCCCAGAACTAGCAAAACTAAGGTATCTATATCAATTCGATTTTTTTTACTAACGACTGCTCTTTGTCTGTTGTGCCAGATTCCCTTCCCATTCCAGAGGACGAATCCCGTGTTGGAGAAGAAGGAAGAAAAGAGAGTGGTAGAAGTGGAGATGACATTGAAAAAGGTGAAAGGGAGGAGGAGGCAATAGAGAGAAATATAAGAATCTGGGAAATGTTAAAGAGGCTAGTGGATGAATTTGAGGAAAATAACTTACAAAAGGAGAATAGTGAGGGAGGGGAATAGTAGGAAAGGAAGTGGTGAGGGAATAAGTAGGAAAGGAAGTCCCAATAAGTTAAGTGTGAGGGAGGGGAATAGTGAGGATTCCGTGGCAGCTTTTGTGAGGAACCTGGGGTGTAGCTTGAAAAACCCAAATGATCTGAAGATTTTCTTGCAAAAGGAGGAAGGTGAGGTGAGGAAGAGGAAACTAAGTGAGGCCGAAAGACTGACAAGGGATGCTGGGGGGGACAAGCTTTTGGGTGTCAAAGGGGAAAGAATGAAGGGGGGTTAAGTGATGACCTATTGGGTTTGGGGGAGGAAAACAAGAGAGCAGAATGAAAATTGTCAGTTGGAATGTTAGAGAGTTGGGAAGTGCTAGGAAAAGAGCAGTAATTAAAGAGGTGATTAAAAAGATAAACCTAGATATAGTTATGTTACAAGAGTCTAAGAGAGCAGAATTTGATGCTAGATGGGCTAGGAGTATTTGGAGAGCTAGGGGTATCAGTTGGGTTACTGCTCCTTGGGGGTCTGCAGGGGGTATAATTACACTTTGGAAGAATGAGGTCTGCATAGGATTGGAAGAGTTGATAGGCCAATTTTTCAGTATCTTTGAAGTTTAGGTAGGTGGAGGATGGATTTGAGTGGGTTTTAACAAATGTTTGCGGGCCTAATGATTATAGAGAGAGGAGGGTTCTGTGGGAAGAATTGGGGGATATAAGGGGTTTGTGGGAAGGACCTTGGTGTATAGGAGGTGATTTTAATGTAATTAGGTTTTCAGAAGAAACAAATAATCCTAACCAGAGGGTGACTACAAGCATGAGGAAGTTTAACTAGTTTGTGGAGGTGTTTGAACTTAAAGAGATTCCTATGGTGCATTGTAACTTCACATGGTCCAATCTACAAGTTAATCCCATTTGTTCTAGGCTGGATAGATTTCTCTTCTCAGTAGATTGGGAGGAACATTGGGGTAATTTGTCCTCGAGGACACTTCCTAGGGTAACCTCAGATCATTGGCTTATTATGATCGGAGAGGAAGAATTGAGAAATACAGAGCCTGCCCCGTTCATATTTGAAAATATGTGGTTACACCACCCAGGTTTCATTAATAAAATCAATGAATGGTGGTTAGAAAGTGACCCCTTAGTAGAATGGTATGGGATGAGGTTCCATAGGAAGTTACAATTTTTGAAGGGCAAAATTAAGGAATGGAATAAGCTTGATTTTGGGAGGCTAGAAGAAAGGAAGCAAGCTGTGACTGCACAACTGGAAGATCTGGATGTGAAGGAAGGGAGGGGTTGTATTACACAGGAGGATAAAGAACAAAGGTAGAAATTGCGAAAACAATTGGAGGATGAATTGCTCAAGGAGGAAATTAGTTGGAAGCAAAAGTCAAGGTGTAAATGGTTAAAGGAGGGGGATAGGAATACCAAATTTTTTCATGCTATGGCAAGTGGGAGAAGAAGAAAAAATCTCATCTCAAGCCTGGAAGTGGAGGGGACAATCATTTCTAATCATGGTGAGATTGCTAGGGCCTTTGCAAACCATTTTAAATCTATCTATAGGAAGCCTTTAAGTAATAGGGTGTGGATTGAGGGGATGGAGTGGCCAAATCTAAGTAGAAGGGATAGGGAGTGGTTGGAGAGAAAGTTTGAAATGGAGGAAGTCAAAGAGGCAATATTCTCTATGGATAGATCAAAAGCACCATGCCCAGATGGTTTTACGATGGCATTCTATCAAGACTATTGGGAGATTTTGAAAGAGGAGCTAATGATGGTCTTTGATGAGTTTCACAAAAGAGGAGAGATCAATCCGGGGTTGAATTCTACTTTCATTGCTATGGTTCCCAAGAAGAGAGAAGCAACACACCCAAGGGACTACAGACCAATCAGTTTAGTTAATAGCTTGTATTAGATCATTGCGAAGGTCTTGTTTATTAGAATTAGACAGGTACTCACTACCATCGTGTCAAATAACCAAGGAGCTTTTGTGAGAGGTAGGCGGATAACTGATCAAATACTTATAGCAAATGAGAGTGTGGAGGACTTCAAGAAATCAAGGAAAAAGGGTGTGGTTTGTAAGTTAGATTTGGAAAAAGTCTATGACTTGGTAGATTGGTCCTTTTTGCTGGAGGTGATGATCAATTTTGGGTTCGGGGATAGATGGTGTAGGTGGGTGCTAGGGTGTATTAGGACTTGCCATTACTCTATTTTGGTGAATGGAACGGTGGTGGACTTCTTCTCGGTATTGAGGGGAATAAGACAAGGAGACCCCCTTTCTCCTTTCTTGTTCACCTTGGTTGTTGAAGTCTTGGGGAGATTGATCTCTAGGGCAGACTCTAGGAGCTTAATCAAAGGGTGGAGGGTAGGCARGGAGAACATACCAYTCACAC